GGAAACAGAAACATATAAACAAGCCCTAATTACCCTTCAGAAGTCTCTGTACATCTACGTGCTCCCTGAACAGCAGGTCCACTCTTGCTTTCCTATAGCGTCCATTTAGCAAGATCAACACATTTGGGAACATAATAGAAATTTTAATTCACTTCTCAAAGTTTTCTACCCCCTATTAAATGAATCCTTTCCTCAATTGGTTATGATTAAAATCAGGAGGTTCAAAATATAGGCATTAACAATGCTCTTTTAAGGCTGGTCTGCCAAAAAAGAACCAAAGATATACTGGCTTTGCAACAACTGAGAGACAATTTATTTTTATATGCACATGGAACTAAAATAACATTTTGAGGCCAGTGAGTTTTCATCCTTGCTTTTAACTTTAATGATATCCTTATTGGATTATGCATATATTTAGTCAACCAGATGGGGGCTTTCTTAAATCCCAGGGCAACACATTTGCTGAACTTCTCCAAGAAAATCAGCGAAAGCATATACATTATTCAAATAAAATAAATACTCCTAATTGAGCTGACTGCACCTAAATTGCTTTCGGTCATGCATTTTCAATCTTAGAGAGGAAATGTACACTATGACACTGTGCTCTCTGCTTCTTTCATGGACCAAGATCATAACATACGTCATCAGCAAGATATTTCCAGCTTGTGAGGATAGGTATCTAGTGGCTATCTGTATCTTCTCACATATGACCAAGGACGATAATTTAGGAGATAAAGTTCTGGCATGGAAAGGCATAACACATTAACACATAGCACATTACTATCTGTGCTCTTTAATGTGCATTTTGGTGCCATTTGATTTGACAAACTCTGATCTTTGTAAGTGAATGCTAGAATCCAATGGATCACCAAAATAAGTACCCCCAGCAATAACTATTTTTCCCACTAACAGGGGCTGACTGTGTCCACCGGCCTTGCTGAATGTGTTGGGAAATCACGAGATAAAGTGCTTCTTATCTCGTGATTGCAAAAACAAGCAGTCATTGGATTTTCCTCTTATTCTTCTTTTCTTAAATATCAATGCTTCTAATATGTATAAAGTTAGTGCATTTAATCTAACTAGAACTTAATGAAGATGTGGTAATTTAAAAATTCTGTTTTAGCTTGTTTCTCCTTTTCAAATGATCCTTCTCTCCAAGCATTGTCAACCTTATACTTTTGCTAGGAAAAATATAAGACTCCTTCAGTTTAGAAAGATTGAAGTTAAGTGATTGCAAATTTCTCTTTCAAAAGCAATAAAAGACTCCTAAGAGAAGAGGTTACGTGTAACTTTTTCCCATAGTTTAAAACTTTTTGAAGCATTAATTTCTGAATATAGGATTCTTTTTAGTTTTTATTTGTGTATTTGTACCATCATTAACCTGAGAGCTTTTGTGATAGTATTTTGTATTCCTTATATTTTAACTAGTTCTCTACCTTTAACTTGCTGAATTTAATATTAAAAATATATAACCAAAACTTAGTCTTTAATAAAAAATAAAATGAAAAGTCTATTAAATTTCTAAAAATGTCCACCAAAAGAAGTCATCAAATTAGAGACAAAAATTAAGTGACTTATCTCTAGGACAAAGCATGTAGATTAATTTTTACTTAAGGTCTCAGTTCTGAAAATGGCACTTTAATTGATATTTGTACTCAAGAAACAAATTTAGAAAACAAACGAGCAAAAACAACCTCTGTGTTACACTATATAATTGTTCACATTCCCAAACCTGACTCAGGATATCCTGGATCGTGGCTTTCCTCATGAAGACATTGACTTGGAATCTATGGTCCAGGGGAACCTGTCTTAGGAGAGATAAACTCAACCCTAAGCAGCTTATAATATCACCATGCCAACAGAAAACAATTTCAAAGGGAAAAATAAGTAATAAAATTGGAAGGAAAATTTTTCCTGAGCAACTGTGATTTCACAAAAGGGAAATTTGCTTTTTAAGGAGAAATAGCAAAATACAGGAAGAATGTGAACCTTGTTGTTTTGCTCCATTATGCTTTTATAACATAAATCTAAGTGTGTATCTATTGTAGAAGTTAGTTTTCTTGGAGTTGAGAGAATTAGCTCCAAAATTCTAAGCATCATGTAAAGATGGATGAAGCAGATCAATGTAGTTGTCACTGGGAAAACCAATAGCAAGGTGTTCCATATACCCCGGACTACATGTGTGCGTGTGCTCACTATATTAACATATGTGGGAAGATGAATCCCTCCTGCTCATCTAAAGAAATATCTTTGGGAGGCCGAGGCGAGAGGTCTGCCTGAGGTCAGGGGTCCACGATCAGCCTGGGCAATTTGGTAAGACCTCGTCTCTACAATAAATAAAAAAAATAAGCCAGGAGTCATAGTGTATGCCTGTAGTTCCAGCTACTTGGAAGGTTGAGGTGGAAGGATCGCCTGAGCCCAGCAGGTCAAGGCTGCGGTGGCTGTGAGTGTGCTATTGCACTCCAGCATGGGTACAGAGTAAGATTCTGACTCAAAACAACAACAACAACAACAACAACAAAAACTATACATATATATATATATATATATATCAATTGAGCAGAATTCATTGTCTATAGAGTCTGGTCAATATAATAAATAATAAAGTGTCATGCATTACATAAGCGATTAGACTTTCCAGGTCTAAAATGAGTCACGCTGTACAGCTGGCTCATGTAGATGGCAGGCAATTAAGTCAGGTATGTTGCCTTGGGGACAACTCGGAACAAGCACTCTAGCATGAGAGGAAAAAAATAATCTTTTTCTCCTTTTGAAGAACCCAGATCTATACTCTGGAGACAGCACAGCTTGTGTTCCAGTGTTTTCCATTTATACTGAAATTCTAAGTTACAGGAAAATAACGCAGATGTGCTGTTTGTGATGTGAGGAGACTTTTTTAATGCCAGAGTCTATGGTCAGTATAATGACCATATTTTAAAAGTACAAGCATTATATTTTCCACAAACCATCACTTATTTGTAAGAAACAACTAAGAATAAGTCACAAGCAATAAATATCAGCAACTTCAAAGTATTAACTCTTTCAAAATCAAAACAGCAAGTGCATGCATTTTTAACACCCTTCAACTAACACTCCACCTCTAACCAGCACCCCTCAATGTCCAGATGTGGATGGTAAGTGTGGGTGCCCACAGACCCTGGAGGGCCTTCTGCATCACCCTGGAGGCATCCTTGATGAGCAATAATTGAGAATCTTTCAATTTTATTGTCATTGTATTTAATCATCTGAAAATCAGTAAACTGGATATTTTATTACCCATGAAGCAGGACACAAAAAGTGGAAGACTCCTGCTATGGAGAAATATTTTCTTTTGAGAATTTTACAAATGTTCTTCAGTCATCAGTGAGTCACTAGTGAAGAGACAAATCGTAACTACTTCTTGAGTGGTCTAAGAGTTAGTGCCTCCCAGGAATGTCAGCAGCTGGTTCCCTAGTCTGCGGCAAACACAGGTTCCCTCGTTAGTGCACTCACAATTAGTACAGGGTACTGTTTTTTACAGGGCTTTTTTTTTCCATATAAGAAATGCAACACATGAAATTCCAGAGTGAGACTCAGAGTAATGCAAGTGACCAGGACTAGACATACTTACTATTCAATAATTGAAATGTATGACAAGAGAAAAGAACTAAATATGGGTTTTGATATTTTGTCCATATAGAGTGGTACTAGTTATAAATATTATCCTTTACTTTGTGGAAGAAGTCTTTAATCGATTTCAAAAGTTACCTGCTGTTTTTTAAGAGTAGTATAAGTGGATTGAGTTCATCTCTTTAAATGCCTATCTTGTGCTTTTCTGGTAATACTTTAACTTTATTAAATATTATTACTTGGATCATGAGCAGTTATATCAAGATATAAATTTATAAAGTGACATATTTTCAATACCAACCATCTATCTCAACTTATTCCATAATAGCACATCCCATTAAATTAAACTACAAGAGATTTCCCACATTTGTTTTACATTCTATATGTATGGCTTATGAATTGCAGTTCTGATGAATTCCAGCTGGTTTAAATATGCAGCCCAAACCTTATATAACAGATTCTTTTTCATTCTTATTGTATTCAATGAGGCCCATTTTAAGTGGGCCACCTGGTAGGATAAAACACTAATATATCTCCGTAGGAACAACAACAACAAAAAAAACCAAATCACCCTGCTAAACTTAAGACCATCTTCTTAAGCTTCATTACAATTATATTTCTACTATAAGTGAGAACTAGTTCTAATCTTTTGGAAAAGTTAAATTAAATTTAAACAAACTAACAACCCTATGAACTACCTACATTGTTCATTTATCTATTATAACAAGAGCATTAAAATAATTTCCGCCATCCGTGCATTTCCTGGTTTCACAAATCCATCACACACATTTCGTACTCCCCCTCCATTCCCCACACCCTCTGCTTCCATCCAGCTGGAAGACATCAAGGGCTCACAAGCCAAGTGAAATGTTGGTCCCACCCTCCTCCATCCATTTTAAGGCACCTTCAAAGCCAGAGCACCGATCTAGTTCAGTTTCGTCAACAAAGCCAGCCATACTGCTATTTAAGACTCTAGTTTGGGGTTTTTATAACTGCATATTAACATGAGAGCTTTCATTTTTAGTCAAAACCTTCAGCTGCACTGGGTTTCATCAGACTGCTATGCCCTTTCTGCAGAAAAGTCCTCATTACCAAATCTTCATAATCTTTGTTCTCCGTGTGGAGCTCTTTCCTTAGAATATCAACCTCTCTGAACTGCCCGATAACCAGGCCTGAAGTACGTAATGTGTTTCCCTTCCAAAGGGTCACAACAGAACCGTCGTTGCGGTAGTGCAGGCATCCATCCCCCGCAAACATAAGCACATCCCGTAGAATCCATGCACTGTAACAAATGACATTCATTCCAACATGCACAGGAACACACTCGCCAGAACATGCAGGAGTGGAAGGGGCTGGGGAGTCAGAGACCTGCAACAGGACAGAGAACTTACTTTGTTGTTCCCCTGTGCGTGGAGCCGCAAGGAAAAGAAAAAGAAATATGTTAAACATAAATTTATTTTAAAAGTATGAGGTTGTTCTTACTAGAGCAAAATCAAAACAAATAAGTTAACTATTCGTTGACATCCCATACATACATGTACAGGGCTCATGCACAAATCAAAGAATCCACTTGGGCTAAATGAAACAATACGTTTATAACAGCAGAAAATCACGACAGAGATTTCTTCCCTCACTTTCTACTCAGAATACTTGGGGAATGGGAATCTGGCCAAAAAGAATTGGTTGGAATTGGTAACGAGTGAACTGTTAGCATGAAAGGCAGAGCATTTAGTGTGTTGGCCTGCCCTTTCCTGACAGCTCCGCCTCTAACATGCCAAGCAGTGGAAAATTTCATCAGCTAGTGCATTTTTAAACAAACACTGCATCCTTGGTTTCAAAGAAGGTGGAAAAAAGAGAAAGAAAGAAAAGAGAGCAGAGGAAAGGTGTGGGTGGTTCTGGGGAGACAGGGCAAGCAGACCAAGTTACAGCCTCCATCTGGACTGTCCCTTTATTTTGTAAATTATGAGTTTTGCCTTCGGTTGGCATGGGAAGTGAAGACTGTATAGTGGGGACGCCGCCAAAATAAACACTAGTCCACACTCAAGAAACGGGCCTGGAGAGGTTAGTCACAAAAATGTAGTCATTTCTAAAAGTGACACTCTGGGTAGAGACACAGAGAGCAGCCAGCGGCAGGCGGCTGGCAAATGGATCTCCTGTTTCAACCCAGAGCTGCAAGAGTATGATTTATATCAAACGATTTAACTCACATATGGCCTAAAAAAATAAAACGGTGATTCATTACTCCCAGGGCAGCCCCAGTCCTCAAGGTCAGATCCTGTGGGGAGACGTGATGGAATATGGGCTGGGAACAGATCTGAACTCCTCTCACAAGGGGCCCGGGAGGAATTTCTCGCCAAGACCGGGGGCAAGAGAGCTGTGGGTGAAGTGTGCATCTGTAGGGAGACTTCGGACATAGTGAGGCGTGCCAGGCGGCAGAGCTGCATTCAGCGTTTGTGTTGCAGACGTGGTGGTTTGGGGAATCATAGATACAGCAATGTTCTGGAGAGCCATCAGGCAATGGCCCCAGGAGACTGTGCCTTCAGGAAAACAATGCCAATTGGTGACTCCGGGAAATGCCCCAATCCAGGGACCATCACGGCCATCATATTCAATAGAAAACATAAATTCAAATACACTGATAAAAAACCGCAGAGAAGCTTCTTGGCATTGTGTGTTTCTGTGATAAAACCATTAATACACTGGTTTATATGAGACATAAATAATGGTACAAGAATGAATGAAGGAAAAAAGAGTCCTTTCTAAAGACTATGCCAACTGTTCCATAAGGCAATAAAGATCCCCACTGGGAATTTTATCGGAAGCAAAAGTCTGCTTTAGAGAATAATGGGACCCTGGTTCTCCGACGAAGTGCAATATTGCTGAAAATACCTAAAACAGATGGAATTTACTGCATGCCACAGCACTGCAGCTATTGATCTCCCAAAGTTTCAGGAGTTCAACCAGGCATTTCAGCACATTAGAGAATGACTGGCTTCCTCACTTGATGGCAGACGGTTCTGTTTGTAGTGGCAACAATGATGTCACAGAGTAGGAGACCTTAACCCTTAAACACAAGAAACACACGCAGAGGACATGGTATGGCATGGCCATTTCTCGTTTCATTCAGTCATCTCCCAACTGTCTGCTCTGAGAGAGGCATGGCTGTCATGAATGGCAAAATGTAAATGCTCTATCATTCCCTTCACCACTCTTCGTGGCAGCATTTATGTCTTGATTCCTGAAAACACTTCCACAGAGGAAAAACTAAGACTGTCAGAACTGGTTATGTGGCTGCTCTAAGTCCTGCCGAAGTTACAGGTAGTGGGGCTAAGTACCAGGTGTTTTAGGTATTGTGTCATTAGACTGTTGAATAAATGCATATGAGGGGTCATCATCACATTAGTAAATATTTATGGAGGCCCAGGGCCACTCTTCTTCTTCCCCTAAAATGACACAGGGACCTGTTCTCCTGTTATTTGACACACAGAATAATTCAGTTTGGGGGTCTATTCAGGAGGAATCTTTGAAGTACCAAAAGGACCTCATTGCAAGATGATTTCCATCTGTAAACCAGTTCTACAAGAATCAGTGATGGTGGAGAGTCCTGAGTTCAGAAGGGATAGTCATTTTCCAGGGTATTTTACTTTCTACACTCATTTTTAATCTCGTGAGAAACAATTCTACAGGGGAGGACCACTTACATGTACAGCAAATAGAAACCTCTTTAAAAGTTCTGAGGTAGTTTAGAAAATAGGCAAAACTGAATTTGCGCTAAATTTGTTTCCAGGACATACGTGGAACTGCAGGCTGCTTCTTTCAGATGGCCAGTAGGCAAGTGTCCGAGGTCAGGCTTGTGACTTCTCGGTCTCCAACAGCCTCTCTGCTCACTCCTGACTGACCAAAGGGATTATAAACATCTGGCCTGGCCCCCAGGCAGCAGCAGGATTCCCTTGAAACAACATGGCTTCCTCAGTCAGTAGTTGGGGAAGTTCTCCCCCACATACGCAGATCCCCCAAGAGTTTCCAAAGAAAAGGGAAGAACTACCAAATTGGTAATTACAGCTTCACAGACATATTAATGATGCAATATAATAAAGATAAAGGCTGTGGGGCACTGGATATGTTCATCAGTTGATGGCACCAAGCTAGCTGTGATGCATAAAAATCTTGATTTCATCTTATAAGATTACTCTGAGGAAGGTATTATTTTGAGTTTAGAGAAGAATAAACAATTGGAGGGTTAAGTGAGTTGTCTGAGCTACATAGCTAATAAATGGTAGGCTTGGATTCAACCATGAGTCTACTTGACTTAAAGTCCACCTTATTCTACTGCACATATTAGGATTCAAAGAATCTGAATTTGGAATTCCTTAATATTTACATACAATTTAAGTCATATTGTAGGCCAACAAAACTGTGCCAGGAAAGTCGGAAAGTCAGATGTTTGTTATATCATGTCCTTTAGATATTTAATCAAATACACATTTATTTATAGGAAAAATTTATGGAAGTGTGCCAGTAAAATAATCTTTTAAAAGTTCTCTACTGACACACACACACACACACACACACACTCAGTGAAAATAACAATTAATTACATTGGACCATCACATCTTTGCTTTGAAACAGTTTAAATTCCTAAATACATATTTAACGATAAACACATTTATAGTGGTTATAATTTCAATTTAGTGGCCACAGAAAATAGAAATGAAAGAAAAAAATTCTGCTCAATCCAAATTCAGATTTAATTATATTTTTAAAATATTGTGGCTACTCAAAAATATCAGGAGACTGATAGAATGCTAAGTTTATGGCTCAGAGGTTACATATAAACTCACAAGTAAGTCAGTAGCCTGAGTCCGCGGTCTCATTTCCATTTTAGAACCACAGACTTCACTGTTTAGACAAGAATTCTATATTTTGCCTTGGATTCAGACAGATCAAGGGAATAAAAGTAATCCAAGGGAATAAAAGTAATCAGAAAAAGCACAGGGGAAAACACAGTTGGGCTAGTGTATTTTATACAGATATCCACTGTAGTTCTTATCAAATTGTGGAGTAACAATTTATTTGCTGCTCTCTTCCACTAGACTTGAAATTCTTATTAAGCAGAAATCGCATTTTTAAAAATCTTTGAATCTCTAGAGTCTGTTTTAGTAGTGATGGATGAAGGGAAGGAAAGTAGGGAGGAAGGGTGGGTGGAAGGGAAAGAAAGAAAGAAAATGTTTTGAAGACACCAAGAGAAATGACTTAAAAGACGAAAGAAATAGGGTAGCAGAACATTTTGATAGGAGTGACATAAAACCATTCCATCAATTGGGTGTGATGGAAAAAGGCACAGTGAGAATGTTACTAAAAAGTGTGTATATATAACCTTACTTGAAAAAAAAAAAACTGCACAAAATATCGTTTTCAAATTTTTCAAATTTGGGAGATAGCTATTAATCTCAATGATGTGAAACTTCTCTAATATTTTAAAATAATCTATCTAAAAATGGCTCCCAGTCAAAATAGAGGTATCTTGTGCAGAACTTCATGGGTTTAGACATATGTTTATGCATGACACAAATGTTTCATTAGCCTGGCAGCAATGGACTAACTTGTAGACTCGATGGTTTACTGATACAAAAGCAAAATTACACTGTTCAGAAGTCCTGAAAAGGTACTTAGACAGAGGCATCTGTTATTAGGTTAATCTGACTTCCCCAAATCTTTCTAAATTAGGAATAATTACCTAAAAATAATTCCTTTCTCCCAAATATAAGTTAGTGTTTATGAAGTGGAGTCTTTAGATAAGCATTCTGTTTGGTTGATTTCAGTAGTTAGCTGCTATTTAAACATCTGAAGGTCAAGCAATCATGTAATATGACCTGTAGGGTTACATGGTGCATAAGAAATGCAAATATTGTTTATGATAAAAACTGAGAAAAAACAAAATCAGGCATACTGCAAAGTTTAATTTCTTGTCTTGTTGATGGTATGTAGTAAAAACCCCTTTCTATTGATTTTCCAAACAATTAAATCTAATGTGCATTCATAAACAAATAAAAATGATGTAAAAAGAATCAAAACATTAGCCATGTGTGGTGGCTCATGCCTGTAATCCCAGCACTTTGGGAGCCCAAGGTAGGAGGCTTGTTTGAGCTCAGCCTGGGCAACATAGCAAGACTCCATCGCTACAAAAAATAAAAAAAAATTAGCTGGGTGTGGTGGTACATGCCTGTAGTCCTAGCTACTTGGGAGGTTGAGGAAGAATTGCTTGAACCCAAGAGTGGGAGGTTGTAGTGAGCCATAATCATGGTACTGTACGCCAGCCTGGGAAACAGAATGAGACCTTGCCTCAAAAATAAAATAAAAAAACAATTAAAAAGTAGAATAAAAATAATAATCAAAACATTGTTTAGGGTATCTCTAGATTTTCTTAAAATCGAATATTCTAATTAAAAATAGAAAACATTAATTTGGCGAGGCTTGGTGGCTCAGTCTGTAATCCCAGCACTTTGGGAGGCCGAGGCAAGTGGATTGCCTGAGCCCACGGATTCAAGACCAGCCCGGGCAACTTGACAAAATCTGTCTCTACAATAAATTTAAAAAGTAGCCAGGTGTGGTAGCATGTGCCTGTTAGTTCCAGCTACTTGGAAGACTGAAGCTGAAGGATTGCACTCCAGCCTGGGCAGCAAAGTGAGACTCCAATTCAAAAAAAAGAAAAAGAAAACATTTCTTTGACTGTCTTTTGATATAGAGCTATAAATACATGCAAATCCAGACTTATAAAATAACATTTTACAGGAGGATGGATAATTTTGATTTTCTCAGACAGTTATTTTCTTGCAAGAGGGGCATTACATATTTGTTTAATACCAAACTTGTCTAGTGCATTTGATATAGGCTTAATTTAAAAATTCACGACATTTTCACAAATACTATAGTTGCATGTTAAGAAAGATACACACACGGTAATTAATATAACCAAGTACATTTGGAAGATAGAAAATAGTATAAAGTATTTACAATCCTACTGGGCTCAATGATCATATCCACAGTATTTTAATCCTCTCCTAGTTGCTAGAGAAAGTAGTTGGTGATGAAACTGGTGGTAATACTCATAATAAGGAATATAAATTAGAGTGCTTGTGCCTGCCCACTTTGGTGCTTTCCCTGCAGGATCTCATTTAATTACATCACCTCCCCTATAAGAGTCTATTGTTATACTTGTCTGGGAAATGAGAATCTTGGAATGTAAAACGGTGAGGTAACCTACCCAAGATCTCAGAGCTGGCAAGTGAACATCTGGAAGGAAACTTCAGGTCATGTGTCACTAGAGTCTGTGCTTGAACCCACAGGCTTTGCTACTTCTTGTTAGCCCCAAGCATAAGGAGCCTTCAAAATGCAAATCTTTTCCTGTCACTAAGTGAAGTGAAACCCAGTCACAGCTCCCCATCTCAGAATTAAATGCAAAAGACTCACCCATTTCTTTCAAGTCTCATCATCTGACCACAACGACCTGCTCTGCTAACCATCTGTCAACTTTGCCTTCCCTCACGGTGATGCAGACACCGAGCTTCATGGGGTTCCTCCAAGACATCGAGTTTGGTTTTGCACTCACCACCCTCTGCCAAGAATACTCTTCTTCAGACTTCCATCAAATACTCTATCCTTCCCTTAAAGAGCATGCTCAGCTGCCAACTCTTCAAAGAGGCCCTCCCTCAACACCTTTGCTAAATAAAGCTTGCTTGCCCCTTACCCTCATTCTAACTGTAACTTTAGCCTACTTAATCACTTCATGGAATGTATCACTATCTCAAACAATGCTGCACAATTATAGTGATTCATTCACTTGCTTAATGTCTGTTCCTTGGGGCAGGACCTTACTGTTCACCCACGTGTCCATAGTACCTAGAATGGTGTCTGGCAAAAGGTACATGCTCAGAGAACTTTTGTGGAATGAGTGAGTAAGAGTACTTGTGAAGTTTTAACATAGAATATTTGTGAAATTGAACACACTACCATCAATGGATAGAGAAGAGTAATAAATACTGATTAGAACTGAAAACAAAAGTAAAAGTGGTACTAGGGTTTTTTTAATGGTTTCTCATATACAATCTTTAGAGTGGTATATAACTATGCAAATCTGTATGCACAAACAGAAGAAAAACTGGACAGCAATTATGAAAACCACACACCGGGGCTTCTGTACCTGGGGATCAACAGGAAAGCATCTCATTTAACTTCCATTTGAAGGGCACACAGCAAGTTATGGGATGTGCGTTACTTTAGGCGCCAACCCGAGAAGTGTAGGATGAAATGAGGTAAAAAGGGCTATATGTGAGTCGAAATAACAGGAAAGAGGAGAATATTTTGGTACAAATCCTCATTCTTTCATTCCTGGAACTCTGTTAAGTTTCAGTATACCCCCAGGAATGTGATCAGTTTCAGTAAACTCCAGAAATCACTTAATTGTCTCATGTTGCATCCCTACACCTCCTAATTTCTCTTCAGAAAACTCTCCCTATTTTGAATATAAAAAGGACACGACTCGTGCATGACTGGTCCTATGAACTGATAAAGAGCCAGATAAGCCCCACAAGAGTCAGGGTGGACGAAATCCCCAAGGCCCAATCTCAGCACTTTCGTTTTGCATGTGGAAGGTACAGAGATTCTGGGGGCAGGGACAGAAAGTGGAGAGACTCCCTCATCAGTAGAGACTGTTTCATGGTGTGTGTACATATGTTGGGTAAGACTTCTGTTTAAATTCAGACCAGCCTGTGTAATATTACATTTTCAAAGAACACAAAGAGAAGTCTGTTTATTAACTTGAATGAGAGAAGTGTCTTCAAAACCCTTGAAGTATATCAATAAAGATAAGTGGAAATCATAATAGAATTTTTTTGTTCCTTCACACTCATGACATTAACCTGAATTTGCATGTGGATATAACTATGGATACAGGTAATACAGACATAATGAAAGAGGATAGATTTTTATTAAAATAAATATATTTTTAGGAATATGAAATATAAGTGTGCTTGTATTAATACCATGACAAGTGTGAAATAGCAAACTAAGGAAAAAAATATTTCAATAAAACAAAAAATTTTCTCTTGGTCTGAGATTGTATATATTATGTTTGATGGCAGAGTGGGGCATTTTATTTAAAACCACACTGATTAACTTCTTCAAACAGAAACCTAATAAAGAAAAAACACTGTTAAAAAGCAATAGAAGGCCAGGCATGATGGTTCATGCCTGTAATCCCAGCGCTTTGGGAGGTGGAGGTGAGAGGATTGCCTGAGCCCAGGAGTTTGAGACCAGCCTGGGCAACTTGGTGAGGCCTTGCCTCTACAACAAGCAAATAAATAAATAAAATTAGCCAGGTGTGGTGGCGCACGCCTGTAGTCCAAGATACTTTGAAGGCCGAAGTGGAAGGATCACCTGAGCCCAGCAGGTTGAGGCTGTGGTAGCCGTGAGTGTGCCACTGCACTCCAGCCTGGACGACAGAGCGAGACTTTGACTCAAAAAAAAAAAGCGATGCAAAAAGAGAAAACATAGTATCAGCTTAAAGTGTGCCAAATTAATTAAGTCAATAAGAAAACTAGTTTCTCTAGCATATGGCATGTCAAATTAATGTTTTCTTAAACATGGTTAATCAGAATTTTAAAATAAGAGATATATCCAACTTACTAAAGATTTGTCAGGATAGACTCCAGCTCTCAGTAGAGATGCCTTCCAGCTGTCCACATCCTCCTGCGAATCACACGCCAGCTCAAGGAAGCGATAGTCTTTGTACACATTCCTGGAATTTTAAAAAATCGTGCTTTTAGTTTTGAACCCATGTCAAAATGATTTTATGTCACTGTAGACAATGATGCATGAATGACAACCCAAATGGATAGCTCTCTGACAATCACTAGAGGAAAACAAAAACAATTCATATTTTAAAATGATTATTGAATTCCTACATGTATTTATAATTTTTTAAACTCACAATAAAAAGTTAAAGAGTTGTCTGTACTGCTAAGATATTAAAAAGTAAATTCAGATGCATTCAATATGATTATACTGGCATAACATTAAAAAATATATGCTGATTTACTTAATCTTCCTCTAATATTAGATAATTAAATAATTTCCTTTTTATTTTTACTATCATAATTAATGCTTAATTAAATATTTTTATCCATGAGCAACTGTCACATGTACTACTATTATTTTCTAAGGACAGATTCCTAGAAATAGAATTACAAGCTCAAAAGGTATGATCATTTTTAAGACACTGATACACACTCCCAATTACCTTTCCAGAAAAGGTGACCCAATTTAGGTAGAACCAGCAGCACTCAAGACTAACAGTCTTTCTTCTCTCCTTACCAGTAACTCTTCCAAGGAGTGCTCATTTATGCCAAAGAGCCTCCATTTCCCCACAACCTGGATGGTTCACCTGCTTATATCTCCTGTCCAGACCTGCCCCAGTCATACTGCCTACTGACTTTTCTTGAGTATTGCAAAGGAACTTTGACACGAACAACTGAACTGGTGATTTCCAACTTCTTCTTCCAACATTCCCATTTCATGTAGCAGTGCGTCATCCAGACATTTGGGGTATTTCTGATATCTTCCATTCTCTAATCTCTCTCTTCCATTTTGTCACCTAAAAGTGTTCCTCTCTTTAAACTGGTCTTATTATCATCAACCCTCTCTTGGACTATTACAATAGCTTCCTCACTGGTCTCCCAGCAATCCATGGCTCCTTTAAATTTGCTCTCTGTCCTGAATCTTCATGATCTTCTGGAATAAGACACGCCAATGGCTACTTGATTTCAGGAAAAAAGACCACACTTCCTATGATGGTCCCAAAGACCCTAAGGTCTGGCCAGTCATTACCTTCCTCTCTAGCTTTTTACATTTTTCTCTTTCTGCTCCAGCTACACTGGACTTCTAGTTCCTCCAAGAAGTCAAATGCACAATGCTTACCTCTAATGCCTTTGGATACGTGCTCTCTGCCTGAAGCTCTCTTTCTTTCTCTTCTGCACAGTTAATTCCTAGTTTCTTAGGGTTTCTGCTCAGTTACCACGTTCTCAGATGTAACTTCTCTGACACCCCTCCCGGGTCAGCTCCTCTTTCACAAATTTTCCACAGTTCTTCTTTTCTTTGTAGGACTTATCACAGCTGTGCTTTCAGAATTATGTGTGTGTTTCTTTTTTTTTTTCTCTCTCTCTACCCTTTCCTTCCTTCCTTTCTTCTTTTCCTTTTTCTTTCTTTGTTACTTAATTATTTATTTTGATTCATGTCTATCTTCCCAACTAGCCCATAAACTCCATGAAGACAAGGAATGAATCATTTTCATGTCTGCCGTTATACCCCCAGGGGCTTCTGGGAAGATAATTGCTTACTTCTATTCCATTCCCTCCACTTCCCACTCATGTCAAACAGACCTTCTCTCCTCAAGCCAAGTAGATATTAGGGCTGGCACTCAGGTAGAGTTCTGAACAAGACAGCTATTGTGGCACTTTCTTGCTCTGGACTGAACAAGAGCTTTGTGACTATAGCAGAAGAAGCCTAGGACAAGAACCAGCCGATCCTTGGTAGTGCTGTCCCCTCAGTGATCACAGGATCTTTGAGTGTGCCTGATCCTGTGGCTCTAAGAAAGTATGGAGGGACTAAGTTTTTCTACCCGAATGCAGGAGAAAGATTCCTTCCTGGTGCCTCCATAGATAATAACTGGCAACTTGCCTATAATTGACCCATGACAACTGAGATGTCTGCACCTTCCCGTGCTCACAGGACAAGTCCACTTAGAGCACCCAGCAGTTAGACTTGCGCTGCAATGAACAAATAAAAATGAAAGGATACCTAAAGAGGTTTTATAGCTAGAGAAAGAAAGAATGAAAAAAGCAATCACGACAGTCCATCAACGAAGAAGCACTTTGGGAGAAGCAGAAGACAAAAGAACAACAAGTACTTGAGGAAGTAAGTGCACGGCATTAAAAAAGACTCCTGGAACTAGAATTGAGACTTCTTTTTTTTTTTTTTTTTTGAGTTGGAGTTTCACTCTTACCCATACTGGAGTGCAGTGGCATGCTCCAGGCCACCACAGCCTCGACCTACTGGGCTCTGGTGAGCCTTCCGCCTCAGCCTTCCAAGTATCTGGAACTATAGGCATACGCTACCATGCCTGGCTAATTTTTTTGATTTATTATAGAGATGAGGTCTCGCCAAGTTGCCTAGGCAGGTCTTGAACCTGCGGGCTCAAGCAATCCACTCACCTCGGCCTCCCAAAGCACTGGGATTACAGGCTGAGCCACCAAGCCCGGCCTAGAATTGAGACTTCTAAATTAAAATATTGATTAGATAAGGTACAAGAAAGGATAATCAATGTTGCGACTGGAATTAGCAGCTTTGAAAATTCAATAGAGTGGAAAAATACAATGAGAGAGAAATTAAAAGGGTATGTAGGAAAGACCCAGAACATCTAACCTGTAAATAATAAAAAAGAAAGGAACATGAAAGGAGAAAAATAATTGCAAAAAAGAAACTTTTTTTTTTAAAGAAGCTTTTTCTGTGATCTAAAAAGGCCCAAGTATATACATCAAAAGTGAAATTTCAGGTGAATTTAAAGAGAAAAAAAATGACATTGAGACAAATGAATTTCTTTTTTTTTTTCTTTTCTTTTCTTTTTTTTTTTTTGAGTCAGAGTCTCACTCTGTCGCCCAAGTTGGCGTGTTGTGGCACACTCATGGCCACCCCAGCGCCGACCTGCTGGGCTCTGGCAATACTTCTGCCTCAGCCTTCCAAGTAGCCGGAACTACAGGCGCGCGCTACCATGCCCAGTTGCTTGGGCTGGTCTCGAACCTGTGGACTCAGGCATCCACTAACCTCGGCCTTTCCAAGTGCTGGGATTACAGGCTGAGACACTGAGACCAGCCCGAGACAAATGAACTTCTTAAAAAAAAAAAAAGTAAAAAAGAAAAGCTTGGTAAGCATACTTCCAGATAAACAGGTAAACTTGTATCACAGAAAAAAACCAAAAGTAAAAATTACTTAGAAAGCAATAAAAATATAAGCACTTCATATCCAATAGAGCAAAGACTGTAGGATAATGTATGACCTTAAATAAGCTTACCATTTAGAAAAGAAAGATCAATATTCATCTAGAGAAATCATAAAATAGTTTCAAAGAAACAAAAGAGAATTAACACAGATTAAAAACAAAATTATTGACATAGAAAATATAAAAATAGGCCAGCTCGGTGGCTCAGCCTGTAATTCCAGCACTTTGGGAGGCCGAGGTGAGTAGATTGCCTGAGCCCGCGGGTTTGAAACCAGCCCAGGCAACTTGGTGAGACCTCATCTCTACAATAAATCAAAAAATTAGCCGGGCATG